GTCATTTTGCATTTTCTTCAAGTAATTGTGAGGAAGACAAAGTAGTTCCAGATGGTGGCAGGGAGTAGAGAACTCAGAGCCAAAATAAAAATCTACTGGGCTTGTGAGTACCTAAGACCTTGAAGTTCAAATATCTGAGATTGTGTCTACTATTAAGAGTCGAGGTTACACTTCAAATTGTCATATATATAATTCCCCTGCCTTAGACAGTGAAAGAGACTCTTGCTTCCCTTAACACAGTAGAGATGTAAAAATGCAGGGAAAGGGGCAGTCCCTTAGATAGACAAAATTAGTGAAAACTGGATCCCTGAGCTTGGGCTCCCTATTTTAAAGAAAAGAATGTTCCAGAAACCCTTATATGACATACTGGAATATATTGAAGCCTGTCCTTCCATAATAGAAGGCACTCTGGTCCGACATTCATTAGGAAATATGAGTTAGTGACTTAGTTATGGACATTTCTGAAGGAGAAGGGAAAGAGTGACTACATCTTTCATCAGGATGACTAGAAAACCGTGACCAATTTCACTAGGCATCCATCTGGCTCATTTTCCATCAGATACTAATTTAAAAAATCAAAATACTGACATTCTTTATAGTCATTGGCCCAAAAGCACTCGGTTTTTTTTTTTATGTGTGTCAATTAGGAAAAACACACATTGAAGAGGATTAATGCCATGATTCTGCCCCAGCTGCCTTTGGGTCACATCTAATTGTATTCTTGGAGTATACTTGTGTCTTTGTTTTTGTTGTTGAGTTCTTACCCCCACAGCTTCCTTATTTTTGTCTCTAAGCCAAATGTTTTGCTCTAGAGGAACATTTTGTTTAATTGCCTAACATATCATCCTTCATGCTGACCATATCTACACTGGCTGAATGCAGAAATAAATGTGCAGGATTCCCAAGCTGTTATTTTGGAGGAAGTATTCACTCTAATGATTCACACGCCAAGTCCCCTTTCACTATAGTCAGATGCAAAGCCAGTCTGGGCCCTTCTGTGTATTGACTTTCTTTTGGAAAGTGAAGGTCCATTTGGAACAACTATAAACTAGATGGAGAAAGCCATAAGTAGTTATATTTGACGATTTAAGAGACCAGCCAGAACCACTATTACAAAGAAACATTTTTGTGAACTTCAAAGTAGTTTTCTTGTCTTGTTACAAAAAATACATGACATTAATGAGCAACCAGCCCTTAGTGTGCTTTATCAAACAGCCAGCTAAAGGTGTTGGCTTTGGGTCAGCAGTTGTGACTCTGCACTGGCCAGATAAATGTCAAGAAAGAATAGCCCCCTTCCCTGCACAGAGGGCCTCTCCTTGACTACGGTTTCTCCCAGAATCTTTATGGTTTTCCTCACTCATACATTTCTTAAAATAATGTTGAGGAGAAATTAATTTTATGAAATTCCATCTCTATCTCCCAGTGCAAGAGAATGACTACCCAGGAGGTGTGTGTCTTCTTTAGAAGAACCTAAGACACTATTCTGTGACATGCTAAGGATAGATGCTACTTTAAGTAAGTTACTAACTTCCTCAGTCTTGCACAGTGAAATAGCCACTATTCTTTAAGATATCATCAGTGTCTTCTACTTTCAATTCATTCCAACCAGTAGGTCCCCGTGTTTACGTTATACACCTTGGGCGTCTTCTCTACCTCTGCTTCTTGATTCAGTGATTTGTGATCTGAACAGGACCTTTAGGAAGTATTTTCACGTCTAATCAGACTTTTCCCTTTTCTTTCTCAAAATGACTTTAACTGAAGCATTTATCTTTCCTATGGTTTGATTTTGAATTCATTTCCTCCTGTCAGCTGGGTACGCACACAATACAAATAAAGCATTTGATAAAATGTGAGAACTAAAGAGAAGACATAGCCTTTTATTCTTAATTCTATATGTATAATATATCAATCATGTTTTTATATTCCCAAGTTTATGAGAAAATGAAAACAAAAACAATTGGAAGGAGAGTAGGGAGGAGTATTTTAGGATGCACACACATGAATACATGTCAACACACAGATGTATGTATTAGGCAAGGAAGTAGAAACCTAACTACTAATCTTGAGTAATCAGCTGAAAGAGATGTAAAACTTTCTTTCTGAAAACATGGGTGAGATATTTTTTGGTTATAAGGGTTATTGATATTTGAGTTATTTTTACTTGCTATAATGATCCTACTGAAAATTAATTACTGAGCAAACCCATCATCCATTTATTTAATGAGTATTGGGTTCTTCATTTCTGGCACTGTTATAGATTTTGGTGATTCAAAGATGGTAAGACACGGTTTATGCCTCAAGGAGCTCACAATTTATTATGGGATACATAAGTGAAAAGATAAACTGTGACACTCTTTGAGGCTATAGGTGAAATGAATCTTAGAGGCTGAATAGGAGTTCAGCAACTATTCAAAACCAACAAGGTCCCACCAGGAAAAGAAGACAGACTTGCAAATGTGCAAAGTCTTTGTCACTTTGAGGGAGGAAATGCTTGAGTAAGGCTGGAGCACTATTCCTGAATGCAGGAAATAAGAGATGCAATTGGTGAGGACGTGGGTTTAAGTAGACATTAGAAAAGGCCTAGACTACCAAGGCCTTCTAAACCACCATAAAGAATTTAGACTCTAGCCTTTGAGTGTTCAGGGAGCAACGGAGGGATTTTAACAGGAGCAGAGGAATGATGAGGAACACAGAGCCACATGGAGCATGGATTTTAGGGGTGAGAAGGAGAAAGAGTGAGACCCCAGGCAGGGAGACAAGTTGAAAGACTTCTGTAGTCACCCACAGGAACTGGAAGGACAAGAAGACTTACCTTCAACTCTTAATCAAATGGATATGGGCAAAGATCTCTTTGCTCACAGATCCTAATACACAGCATCGAAAAGACTGATATGTGGTAGGTTGTATTGTCAAACTTGATGTATACACCAGCATATGTACTGAGAGATGCATGAAGTCACTCTTAAAAATATGACAACTGATGCTATATTCATATGACAACTTCCAAATGATTTTGGAGAATAGTTGATAACCTGAAAAAAGGTCACTCAATTGCATAGGAAAATAATCTGTAAAATATAATGTAAAGTATAATTGAAATTCTATTTCAATTTGTTTTTATACAAGAGGGCAAATGACTTTGAAGTGAACAAAACTGATATTAGAGATTATCCCTAGAGAGAGATAAGGTGGGGCTGTGAGTACAATTGTATTCACAGTGCTGAAATTTTTAGAAGAATGTGTTTAAGCATTGTACGTATACTTAAAAGAAATAACATTATGTTTGAAGAGGAAAATCAAGGAAAAGACTAAAAATATATATGTCAAGAATTTTATAATAATTTTATATAAGAAATATTTCTGGAGAATAAGTTTCCCAGAGAATGCCACATTTAAGATTATCAGTTGGGATCTTGAAGTTAAGTTAGGGATACAACTAGAATACAAGTCTCTCAAAGGCATGAATTTTTTTGTTTTTGTTTGTTTGCTGATGTATCTTAAATGCTTAGAATAATGTAGGGTATATGGTATGAGCTCAGCAAACAGTTGTACAGAGGTTGAATAAAGAGCTTGGGTTTACAGTCAAGTACAACTGAATCCCATTCATCTGGCTTAGCCTCGATAAGCCCTTGCAAAATGGCCATGCTAGTGACACATCCCTGGCTGTATCCTGTGGTATCCTGCTTCACTTGTGCTCAAAAGGAACCTGTATTAAACTCATTCCCTGGTAACCTCTCCCATCCCAGCCACCACCTCCAAGCACCCGAAGGACCCCCCACCCAGTTTTGTACATCTCCCTGGAGACTAAGACAAGGGACTCCCACCAGGTCCCAAGACTCCCAAACCACTGCCTGATAACCTGGAGCTCTCCACCTTCTACCTGTACCTACTACACGTACTTCTACTTGTCCTACTACATGTGGCTTTGAAGATCTGCACCAAATGTTTTCTTCATCAGTCTCAGGAGGAGAGGGAACGTGCTGAGAAGCTGAGGGAGTCGCAGGATTGAGGGACTGGCCAGGAGATACAAGGACCAGGGACTTCAGGAGATACAAGGACCAGGCCCTCAGAACTTGGAGAGCAGGTTGGAGGCAGTGGAGGGTACCTTGGACCTGGACAAACTGGCCACCGAAACACCTGTGACATCATGGAGGTGCATGATCTGAATGAGCAGATGAAATCCATCAAAGAATTGGGTCACCATGTCCATGTTAAGTAAGACGGAGGTCCTGGTCTGGCATGGCAGAATATCTCTTTGATAAGCACACCCTAGGAGATAGTGATAAGGAGAACCCAGCCTTAGGCCAACTTCTCCTCAAGCCTTGAGTGACTTCCCTGGTCACCAAGCATTGCATGTAGATTGGGACTGCATTTGCCTTTTCTATAAGTTGTATCAAAACATCTACTGACGTTCTTTAGTTTATATCATTCCTCCAAATACAAAAATGTGGTATCCCTCTGCCCTCCCTGAAAAAAAACCTATAAAAATTAAATTAACAGCTAAAAATCATTTAGCAGAGTGCCTAGCCAGAACAAGTCTTTTATCAATGATACTTACCACTCTTTAGCATAACAGTGATACTAGAGATCAATGGAGTGATATGCTTATTGACACTCTTTTTTTTTCTTATTTACACTCTTAAAGAAACTTTTTTTAAATGATACCTATAATAATAAAATTAAAATAAACACATGCTCTTTTCATGAATCCTCAATTATAAGAGAACCATATGAGTTTTTGTGTGCATAATGAAATAAACACAAGTATACAAGCCATAGACTTTTACCTATTTGTAATTTGAAATCTTTCCTACTTCTCCCCTCCTTTTTTTTTTTTTTTTTTTTGGTTTAGAGAGTGATTTATTGGAAGGGTTGATTTCAAAGAAGGAAGAAAATAATGAAAAAGTTATAACAGAATGAGTCACTCACTCTTTTGGGCTCTGTTATTCTGTAGAATGGCTGATCTTTCTTTTCTCTCTCTCTCTTTTTTTTAACTTCAGGTTATATTTAAAGGGTCACACTGGGACAGCAGGAAAACAGAGCAGCCTGATCTTGCACGGTGCTGATTTCAGCACTAAAGATGCTGATAATGACAACTGTATGTGCAAATGTGCCCTCATGCTAACAGGAGGTGAGTCCTATGGGGCCATGCTCTAAGCTGTGTTTTGCTGGTCTGAGGCTTCAAGTTTCTTATCTATGAGAAAAGGGTATGATCTTCTGGTCAGGAAACTTAAGAGCAAGTCCCTTGTTCTGCCTTCTAATTTATCCTGGGTTCTTGTGCAAGACATTTCTAGCATATTTAGAGATTTGCCTCCTCCTATAATATCTGTAGTGGGAGTGTGCTGAGCTTGGTTCTCAATATATTCTTTAGCTTCTTGAAATCCCAGCTATTCTACCTTGCAAAGAGTCTTCATGATACCTATACTGAAAAGAACAACAATTTAGGAATACAGCATATAGAATAATTGCCTCTTACCCAATGCTGTACAATTGTGTAGTAGAGTTCATTGAATATTTTGTTAAAATAAAACAACAACAACAAAAAAGGAATCATAATTAAACCCGAAGTTAGAAGATTCAGACCAGCTATACCAAGGTTTTCCATTATGTGATAGTCCTTTACAACATATTTTAGCTAGTATAGGGTATACTATGAAATAATATTTTTTTCTTTAAGTAAGAAAGTTAATCCTTTCTTGTACCTTTTCAATATTTTTTCAGTCTTCTGATTGTGCCAAAGACAAATTCTCAATTTGGTGCTAGAATGTCTGTAACTTTTCTCTAGCACTTACTAAACAGTCGTCTTATCCAAGAAAGACCAGAGCCTTGCCCTTCTTCTCAGAGACATTGGTAGGCAATGGAACCTACCTAGAATCAAATAATGCTATTTTGTTTTAATTTTATTATATTTTATATCTAGCATGTATTAAATCAAGTGTTACTACTGATTTCTTTTTAAAGGGATGCTATAAATTTTGCATTTTAAAGTGCATTCATGATATTGCATGATTAATAGATCATTGATTTCAACAAAAAGTATTAGTTAAATATTAGTTCTAGGTATAAATGGATATAGAAAAATCTGTGAAGTTGATATATGGCTGATTACATTCTAAGAAACACTAATCTAAAACCCATTGGTAAGTGATGTTGCTCACAAATGGTGTAAGCTCTGGCAAGGGATTGGTGCCAAATAATATTATAAAGGAAAACCCTGTTTTATTGTTTCTTTTCTCACAATTTTGGTGTTCCTTTTGTCTCTTAATGGAAAGCAAGCAATGCCACCCTCTACTATTCTGATACTCTTTTTGTGTCTTTGTAGAACAAAACATTTTCATCCTAATGAGGATAAAAGTTGAAATCTACTATTTTCCTCCCCAAACACTACCTTTCTGCTCTTTTAGTTGCATATTATTATATGTCATTGCAAATGTTGTTCTATCTTCCTTAAACTCCAATCCAACTTTGAGACCAGCAAGGAAATTCTCATCTCTACTTTGTACAAAGGAATATGAAAGTCAATCCTGTTTCAACCTTCTATCCTTAACATCTGCACAGAGGATGTGATACATATATAGGAACTCAAGAGTAAATATGGTGCATGAGTGAATGAGTAACTATCTGTAACTCTCAAATAACTTTCAAATTTTAAATCTAATGAATTGAACCATTAGGTTAAAATTTTCACTCATCAGATAATAGAACATGGAAAGCTGTGGAAGGAAGATTTTAGCATAATCTTCCCATCTTCCTCTCTATCTCCAACCCCTTCATTACTACCACAACCAAATCATAGGCTATTGACCTCCATCCCTTCCACCTATGTTGAAATCTTTTCATTATGAAACCAGCCTCCATATTATCAAAGATAAGCCATTATGATTCTGCTTCTATCACATCCTTCTACTTAAGCTTCAGGTACGTCATTTGGAGATCATATTCAACCTCATCAAATATTTAAAAATTTCTTATATGTCTTTGTGACCGTACCCCCCATAAAATATGGTTATTGCAAATCTAGGAAATTTCTTTTAAATAGTACCCACAGGTCTTGAACATTTTCTCCAAAGAAATATTTCTTTTCATTACCTTCCTGATCCCATATACGAAGTTTTCAGCAGCTTTATACAAAGACAAAAGGACTTGGATTTTCCATTTTCCTGCCCATTTTAATATTGAAATACACTTAATTTTCACCACTCTATTTTTACAGATAATTTTTTCTTCCAAATAAATAAAGTTACATGAAAGACCGACAGTAAAATCTTTCAAATGTGTGTTCTTAAAAGAACATTCCGGTACGTTCATATTCCTGTCATAATAATGAAAATATGGAGCAAAACAAAGAGGAGTATGCATCTCGTTGGTTGTCGAGAACACTTCATTGCTTAGATTTATGATTTTTATTTCTGCTTCACATGATAGAACTTTGTCATGTTCTTTCATCCATAATCATTCTTGGACCTGCTTCTTAGCCACCAATAAACACATATGTTGGGGAGAAAAAAATTTCCACTTATTGCTTGGGCTGGAATAGTCTAAGTAAATGTGTTTTTGTAATAAATGCCATTACCCTATCAAATATCCTTCTGAAAGACTCCAGGTCTTGCAAAACCATTCACTCTGAAAAGCTAAAATGTGAAATTTAGATAGCTGAGAACTGGAAAACATAAGGATGAATGTCAGTGACAGTCCAAGTACCTGGAGTCTTGCCTGGAACTTAGGTCTTAGTTAGCTGCTACTCCCTGCCATCCACTGTCAGATTTTCCCTTACAACCATTCTCATTGTCTAATGACTATTCCTTTCTTTATTAAAAAAAAGTGTTTTATTTAAAATAGTCTCTTTTAAGCCGTAGACTTCAGACTGTTTGAGACCAATAACTCAATGACTTGTCATCATCAAAGTTTTCTTCTATCTTCTTTATTTGTATATTTTCCTTCTAAAAGGAACTGAGGGTATAGTAAGGTTTATTTTGCACTATCTTACATAAATTTTTTTCCAGTACAGGAGGGAGTTTAGTTGGAGCACATAGTATCTTTGTTACCTTTATCTGTTAAAAAGAGTGAAAAATAGAAGATAGGCTTAATTAAAAGCAGATGGTATTTCAGCTAGACACAAGGTGGAGCATCTTAATCTTTGTGTCTTCTTCTTTTCTAACATCCCAAAGTCTTTTTCCTACCAATATGATGTATTTTTAAATAAGTTCTATTAAGGAGATCAACTACAATTAGATGAAAGAACAGGACAGAATAGAGCTAATCTTCTTTGAGATTGTCAACAAAAGAGTTAATAATAGATGACTCCATTTCGAATCATAACAAGTTCTGTGGATAAAATATGCCATGTGGTAGAATTATTTGGGGAAGAGGGAAGAGACTTTAGGTAGAAAGTTGAGGGGGTCCAAAGCTAGAATAAGTAGTAGGAAGGGTTGTGCCTTTGTAGTGATGGACATCTGTAATAAGAAAATAGAGAGCTATTTATTTGACAGAGTTTATTTATACACTTTCTTGTAATTGTGAGTCTAGTAAAAATAGCTCCCAGGTTTTTGGTCTGTTTCTGAATTCTATCATTCCATATACTCATTGACACTGTTGGTGGGGGAACAAGGGATATTATTTTTTAGTGCCTAGGTGGTAATCCATATTACTCAACATTGTTGGTTGAAAGGAGACACAATGAGTGGGCTGAGAAAGCATCTGACATTTGCATCAATAGAAATAGATACCACAATGTTTTACACCCTTTTTCCCAGAAGTGTTCATACTTATCCCCACCTTACCAGCAAGCCAGCAATTTCTCTATCCAATTTAAATATTGAAAAACTTTTATGTCTCATTACACATTTCTTATTGTACTAGAGCATATATTTCAAGGTCAAAATCGCCACACACATTTTCTATGGAAATGACCTCCTAACTAACCATTAAACAGAGATGATTTGTCAGCATATATTTATAAGCCAGAAATGTCTGTATTATGTGATTACTGTTGACCTCAGGAAAATTCGTGAAGTTTCTCCTTAAGTTTCCCCCTTTATAAAGGATGCTACTGCAAATCTGTATATTTCTGTAGTGGGAGAAACATATTTATAAGGTAATTGTAGGGAAATATTTCTTTAAGTCTCTCAGGAGAGTTCCTATTGTGCACCTCACTCCAAGTCCAAAGAAAATAATCAATTTCACAAAAAATTTAACAGTTTTTTCCTACTATTTATTTATTTGTTTATTTTTGACTGCGGAAGCAAGCAAGGTTTTCCATCCTCGTATCAAATAAAGTAGACTTCAAGCCAAAGTTAATCAAAAGGAGTAAGATGGACATTACATACTGCTCAAGAGAGCCATACACCAACAAGACATAACAATCATAAATATATATGCCCCAAACAATGGTGCAGCTATGTTCATCAAACAAATTCTTCTCAAGTTCAAGGTCTAATTGACCACAACACAATAATGTTGAGTGACTTTAACACACTTCTTTCATCACTGGATAAATCTTCCAAACAAAAGTTGAATAAAGAAACAATAAAACTCAATATACAATCAATAACTTAACTGACATATATAGAATATTTCAACCTGCATGAAGTGGATACACTTTCTTCTCAGCAGCACATGGATCCTTCTCTAAAATAGACCATATAATATGCCACAGAGTAACTCCTAGCAAATACAAAAAAAGTAGAGATACTGCATTTTATCAGATCATAATGGAATGAAATTGGAAATCAACAACAAAATAAAAAATAAAAATTCCTCCATCACCTGGAGACTAAACAATATGCTACTGAATGAACAATGGGTTACAGAAGACATCAAGGAGGAGATTAAATTTTCTACTATTTAATATTAAAAAAATGAAATGTAATTTCATTCAGTGAATGCAATGCTTTCATTTGTATAGATTTATTTACTTATTTAAATATATTATAATAAATAATATATATTTTGGGGGGTACCAGGGATTGAACTCAAAGATACTTGACCACTGAGTCATATCCCAGCCCTATTTTGTATTTTATTTAGAGATAAGGGTCTCACTGAGTTGCTTAACATCTTGCTTTAGTTGAGGCTAGCTTTGAACTCACAATCCTCCTGCCTCAGCCTCCTTAGCCTTTGGGATTACAGGCA